ATAATATATATATGAAAATAATATATATATGAAAATAATATATATATGAAAATTATATATATATATGAAAATAATATATATATATGTGTGTGTGTGTACATATAGGCAATAAGATGTGTCCACAATCACCAAATTTACATTGACCTTCTAAACATACCAGCTTCAGAATGATTAATCTTTTTAGATTCAGATATTTATTGTCTTATTTATAATCTTCATGAGCTACTGTTGTCTTGGAAATACTCTCTCTTTTCTTATAAGACTTTAAAATGCTTTACAATAATTTACATTTCTACCATATGTGACCAGTGTATGAAATGAAATGTGGTGTGGCTTACCTACATGTAAGAAGAGTTATAAAACCACATTTATTTTTACTCAATGATTTGAAATAAAAAACAGGGATCATTCCACCTCAATGATAGATAGGAAACTAAGCAATAAAATGAAATCTTCTAATCAGATTCACACAGAAAAATAATGGAAATAAAACAAACTATCTCTGATGCTCAGTTCAGTGTTGAAAAACTGAAGCTCCATTTTCTCTTTCTTGAGAAGTAGTCACTTTCCTAAAATGTATTTGGTCTCTCAAGAAATATATTCAGGGCACTAATCTCCAGCCCAGCCTTTGAGAAATTTATTTTAAACTTCAGCCAAATTCACTGTTTTAATTATGAAAGACTTACTAGTTTTAATAAACCCCTTCTACAGCCCACTGCTCAAAGTCTTTGACAGCAGGATTCTAATAGAGCCAGGTCCAAAATGCAAATGGTGCCATCTGCATCAGTACATCCACTCCAGCAGCACTGCTATTAAATTAATAGTACAGTCTGCAAGATAAAACAGCAGCGACCCCAGTCATGTGGAACCCGTTGAGTTTCTGTTTAACCTCCAGCAGATAGAATCACAGAGCCAGTTCAGCTATGGTTCGCTTAGTCAATCCGTACCCAAGAGCTGTGTCCAATTTCCCTGACCAAAGGAATTAAGAACCAAAAAAAAAGGAAAGAGAGCAGTAAGAAGACATTAGTTCCTTAAGCACAAATATAAATAGGTTTCAATCAAGTGGGCTTCAATGTCCTATATAGGGGTTGGCTGACCAATCTGGAATGAACTCAAACATGAGGATTAAAGACATATTATCCACAGAATGATTTGAGCTCTTCACAAAGAGGAAGCATAAAAGATACAGTAGGTTAAAATACCAAAACCAGCAACATAGCATTATGGTAAGGATTCACATGCAGGGGTGATTATTAGTTAGTTAGGACCTCTATAATATCATTTGAAACTATACTCTCTACAGCCATGATATTTATTACAGATAAATTTCTATTAGTCAATTTTTCACATAGTAAATTTTGGACATTTCATTTTCATCCTCTACCCGAATTATTTTATTTTTATGTCTGTGTCACATGCAAAAAAAAAAAAAAATTGAGATTTTAATTTTTTGTCCTGGTCTTCCAAAACTCCTGGGTAACTGACCATTGGCTTAATCTGGGCATGCTTAGAAAAACGTCCTTTTGAATGCCTTTGACTTCTACACATTTCTTTAAAGTTTTACGAATACGTGGGTCACCCCCAGAAAAGTGATATTTCTGTGATGAGCAAGACAATGCTGGGTCTTATTAATATGCTTCTGCTGCAGAGCACAGTTACTGGATTCAGTTCAGTGGAAAGGGATATGAATCATCATGTTGTCACTGTCCATCTAACCCATGAGGCTGTGGAAAAACACTGTAGGGCCATGACATCCTTCAATGAGGTAGTATAATGACTCTGCATCTCTGTACTACAGACAAAGGGCTTGCATGGCATGAGAAAGTCAGGCTTAAAAAAAATCAAACTCTGCCTCATTTTAGTAACTTATTAAAATGAGAAAAATATTTGCTCACTAAGTCAAAAAATATATTTATTGTGCTACCTTGGTAATTAAAAACTGGTTTTAAACAATATAAACATTGTCACGTATTTTGAAGTTACTTTGATTCCAATTATTAAATATTATTTATACATTTATACCTGAAGTTAACTGAGAGTAAAAGTACTTATTATAAAAAAATCTCGATATTTAAAGCAAAAACATACTCAACATGAGAATTTTTCTTTTTTATTATAATTATTATTTTGTATTGATTTTTAATATTATTTATCATACATTAAATCGTTATACATCATTTAGATTGTGAAGAGAATTTACCCAGCATGATATATTTCTTGTTCTAAAATGAACACACACACACAAATCTTTAACAAACAAGAAGAAACACAAAATTAAATATTTACCTTTAGTTTGTATTTTCTTCTCAGGTTTCTCCAGCTTCTCAGTCTTTTCTTTGTGAATTTCTAGGGAAATAAAAAATTTATCATTTAAAAACTCTTGGTAACATAAAATGTAAGCCATAGCTGTGACCTAAACCTTATGATTCTATCACAAAGTCAAAATTATTATATATAGCAAGTGTGTTGCTGTCTAAAAGGAAAGAGTCTTTGTAACATATTATAAATTGCTTATTACTGGAATAAGAAAACAAATTGGAATCATCTAAAAGTCAGTTATTTGAAAAAGCTTTAAAAATTACATCTACTGAGATATGTTGTCACCATTTTCTGTGCTAAATTAATCACAAATCATAATTATGTTTTATTTCAATTACTCTCAATACAAATTAAGAATCCTTAATAAGAATGTCATTTAGATTTAGGAAGATTTAGTTTTTACATATTAAATTAAGAATTTGTGAAATGAACTGTAACAACTATCTAATAGAAAATATATCTCAGAAGTATTGACTCCAAGCTATGTTTATAATCAGCATTTGACATTGCGTATAACCAATAATTACTGCAAGAAGATGTGACAAATTTCGTAGAATAAGTTAGCTGTACAGTTTTTCTAAATATCAGGTTTTAACAGATATATTCAATTTGCTGCTAGCTTAAGTATACATACATTGCCAAGGCTTAGAAAATGAAGTTAATTCTGAATTTTCAGTTAATTTGGATAGATGTAAATTTGAGATTAGGGTTTACAAACATGATTACTACCCCTGAAATGTGACTTAATCTTAAATATCATGTATTTCTTAGAAAAAATGCTAATGAGGTTTATTTACTTATTTATTTATTACAACTATATGCCACAGATGGTCTGAGATGGTGCTAATTACTGTACACATTTTAAATTCTCCTTTTGTAAATTTGCATTTGCATTTTTGTAATTTTTCCAGAAGTCTGCTAAATTAAGACCAACCATAGGAAAACCCCAGATATCTTAAAAAGACAGCTACTGACTGTCAATCACCTGTTTTGGAAGTAAACACCACTGTGAATATTTTCTTCCCTCATTTTCCCCACTAATCAATCTTGTTACTGTTTACACTGTCACTCTTTTACCTTATCCCATCTCTTAAAGATGGCCATGGAGATATGAAAGAGGAAAGGTGCCCATTCACATCTCTGGAAAAATTGTCCGAGGTATAAATAAGCAAAGATCTCCAATGGACATAGGGAACTTCCATCTTCCTGCTTCTTTAACCATTGGCTTATCTCTTTCTTTACTATCTTCAAATTGTATTTTATAGTAGGGTTATGTCGTCTTAATACTCTGACTTTCTGATTGAGTTAAATATTATTTGATGGTGGGATGGGGCTATTCTTTTCACCCTAGGACATTTAATGGTTATTTCTGGTCTCTACAGATTAGACGGCCATGGACCCCCATACTCATCTCACAGTCATGACAGTGAATATAGTCTTTAAATATTTTCAAATACCCCAACAGGGCAGCATTAATCCCACTTGAGAACCACTGCCCTGAAGAAACATGATAACTAGCCCAATCACTCTTTGTCACTGTCTAAACCTAAGCAGTAGCACCTAGACACATGTGCATATTAAGTACGTGGTATGCAGTTAGTTCTAATTGAAGTATGTTGTAAAGTACAGGCTGGATTATTAAGACTTAGTGTAATAAAAGTAAAATACCTCACTGATAATTGTTACATTAATTACATTTTGAAGTGATATAATGTAGACACTTTGCATATGATGGTTTAACAGACGGGTCATCTTGGCCAGGCTATTATACCAAGCTTTTCAAATAACTGCTAATCTAGGAGTGCTTGAAGCAGTTTTGCAGATGTAATTAAAAACCTTAAGTAGTTGACTTTAAGATGTTCTGGATATTTGGTATGAGCTTGTCTGACTCCACTGAAAAGCCTTAAAAATGAGTCTGAGGTTTCCCAGGACAAGAGAAGAAATTATCTTTGGGCTTTGGTTTGCACTTGTGGGCTCCAGCTTGCGTGTGATTTTCCCTTCTAGGCTGCCTGTCCTATGGGTTCAGACTTGGTTAGCCAGCTCCAAAATCACATAAGTCAACCCCTTGTAATAAATTCCTTAATACATAAACATATCAGTATAACTTCCTATTGGTTCTGCCTATCTGTTGAATCCTAACTGATACATAGATTTAAACAGGACATTTTCATTTTGCATGTTGTAATGATATACAATGATCAAATGTACAAAAATGTACATATGTACTATATATATGTGCATATATATATGAATATGGTATATTTTCAATGTCCTAGTTTTCTTTGATTAAGATAGATGTGAAAAATGAAGGAGACATTTATGACTATTTCTTTTAAAATTTTCCTAAAAAATTGACATGAAGCCTTTTTAATAAATCACGGACCATGTTCCTCAAATTTGCCAAAATAAGATTTAGCCTGGTATTTCTCATAAAAAAATAAAAAATAAATAGGATAGTAAATTAAAATTATTTTGACAAAGGGGCCCATAGATGGCATGGTAGATAAGGTACTAGATTCCCATATGACTGACTATAATTCGGGTCCCAGACCTAGTGACTTGAAAATCACACTAGGAGTATGTGTGTGCTTACTCAAGCTCCCAGGAAGAGAATGGAGGAGAAGGGATCACAGTGTGGTTATGCCCTCGGGTGGTGATTTCTCACTTTACCTCTCATTGCCTTTCTGTCTCTTTTCAGTGAGCTCATGCACCCTATAGCAAAAACCTTAAAAAAAAAAAAAAAAAAAGGGGCTCTGCCCCGCGCAATGCGTGCCTTTCGGCCGGGCCCCCTCCGGGGTAATGGGAGAGTGGGAAAGGGCAGAGGGTCAAACATAGGAAAAAACAAAAAAAAGGAAGAGAAAAAAAAACCATATATATGTATACATAAGTATGAAAGTAGAAGTGGAATATTATTGATGATAACATGCTTGATTGAGTCACTGGGCAGTTTATTCTAGATGAGAAATTACATTTAGTATGTTGTGATGATGCTCAAGGAATGAATGTTAAGTAACAACAACAAAAACAATACGGTAAAACTATTCGTACCATTTTTTAAAAAATGCATATTTGATGACTGCAGTGAGCTGTATGGGCCCAGCTGGGTTCTACTTTATAGTATGCTCTTTCTACTCACTGGGGTTTATGCCTAAAGTCAGACTTGAGTTCATGTATAGGTATGTGTCAGCTGTGATAACTATTGGATATATTTAGACTAATTAAGTTCACTGGCAGATCATTTGAATGGGGATGGGGGAGGCATGGAGGGAAACCGTGGATGCCAGGGAAAATGTGGGAGGAGGATGGGTCATAGCAGAGGGTGGGGGATGGGGAATCAAGGATGGCAAAACAAAAGGCAAGGTATGCAGGACATAAGAATTGGGAAATTATTTGCTTAGAACATGTACGTTGATGTGCTTGATTGAGCCAATGCACAGTGTATTTTGGATGGAAAATTCATTTGTGTGTTGTGATGGAAAAAAAGAAATTATAATAATAAAAATAAATAATAGAAAAAAAAACCTTAATTTTTTTTTATTTCTCTTGTTACTTTTTAAAAAGCTTAAAATTACATATGTGGCTCACATTAAGTTACTCTTAGATAATGATGACCTACACCTATAGGGAGAAAATAGTCTTCTGAAAATCTTACATCATCTACAGGGTTAAATCATTTTTAAATGAACTGCAAAAACAAACTTGAAATTATCCCCAGCCAATACCATTCTGCTTTTCTCCTATCCAAATAAACAGAAGCTATGAAGATTGGTCTTTTCATAATTCAAGCCCATCAAGCAAATAAAATGTTAAAGATTAGCATTGTTTTTGGATGTGTTAAGGGAATAACTTTTAATAACCAGTTTCTTACTCCCAGTAGGTATTAACTTAAATACAGAAATGGAAAGAAATTTTCAAACATAAGAGAATGACACAAAATGCTACATTGATTATGATATGAGGAGCCCTTTACATTGATTGCCATTGAAAATATTTTTTCCTTTTGAAGTAGAATTGTGCGTGTGTGTGTGCGTGTGTGTGTGTGCATGTGTGTGTGTGTGTGTGTGTGTGTTGATCCACAGACAACTGATGACCTTTCAACAAAATAAAGAACAGATTCTGGAACTCGCATATTAGGATCAGATGTGAATTAGTGTCTTTAGTAGAGTTTGTTCTGAAGATCATGTGGCATGAATACTCCTTTCGGAGCCTTCTTAGCCTTTGATTTGGGTTAGTTGGTGGCTTGTGAGACTAGACAGTGCATGTGTGGTCCACAATAGGGCTTCCTGCAGGATAGTGGGAAATCTACACAAGAGAGAACAGGTGAAAGAGGCAGAAGCAGGAGCTATTTGGCCTCCCTTAGCCTTGACACAGTCAAAGGGAATGAGCATTAGACTGTAATTGTAAAAGTCTAATGAACAGGGCTCTACCTGGATGGAACAAAATAAAGAAGACAAAAATCAGAAAGACTGGGATCAAAGACACAACTCAAGGAAAGAAAGGCAGAGGGTAAATGGATACTCTCCACCCTTCCCCAAATACATGAAAGGGAGGTAACTCTACAGTGGAAGGTAAATAATTGCATGTTGGAAACACTTCATAGTAAGTTTTATGTAAGTAAAAATAAAAATAAATTAAAGAATTAGACTGATAAAAGGGCAGTATGTTTCAGAGTATTTGTTTCTTATTCTATGATAAATGGAATAGACACTGCCTCGTTCTACAGCTCACACCAGTTTCAAGGATAAAGACCACATTTTGTACTTTTTCTGATTCTGCACTATAGTTTTGTACACACGAAGATGACCACTGCTTTAAGAAGATCCATTCAGGTCACTTATAAGTGACATGAGGTTGGGGGTGGGGCCTACAGAGTTTTAGAAAAATATGCACAGAATAAAATCAGTTCACACCAGGGGTCAGCAGGTGGGATGGTAGTTAAAGCACTGTAATCCCACAAGGCCTAGTGTGGTTCAAGTCCCTGACCTGGCAGCTTGAAAATCACATTGGGTGCATGTCCATGCATACCC